AAAATTATTTATGTTCACAAATGTGAAAATAAAATAAAAAATTTATGCTCTTGTAAACATATGATTTCCAACACCGTTAATTGGTACCGTACGGTTAGTCTTATTACCAGTTACGTATCTGGTATGTACGTACGTACAAGTTATCTCAAACCACTCTATAATCACACTGATGTAGTAACTTTTTTAAAAATGTGCTTATATAGAGGTTTTTTTTTCTATATGGGGGTGAGTTAACAAATTTATTAGATAAATTTGTCCCATTTCTACTGACTTACCCCCATATGTTTATAATGGTTTTATAATATATAGATGTGCTTATAAAGAAAATTTTTATATATGCTTATATGGGAGATGACTATAGGGAGGTTTGTACTCGGAGATCAATTCGAATTCACTATCGCTATATACTCAAAAATAAGATAAATTCTTAATATTTTAAGGAAAAGATAATACGAAAATAGCTTTGCATCACTTAATACATATTCTTTCATGTATACTATTTGTCGGTTTTTAAATTATTTTCCTCGAGAAATGAATATTTCTACAATTATGGCGAAGGTATAAATAAGAATCAACAATGAATTATTTTAAATCAAACATTGAAGAGTACATATTAGATATAGTCCTGGTTAGATAGTGATTTATTGTCAAAAGGAGCGTTCATGATTTATGATAAATTGTTATAATTACATGTGATGCAAAAAATGATAAAAACTTTCTCTAGATTGTCAGAGAAAAAGATATATAACAATGATTGAATTATATAAATGAATAAGAAAAGGGATTCATTATTTTCTTTTTTTTTTTTTTTCTTTCGCTAATTCGATCATCCAAGAATGAAATAAATCCTTTGGCATCCACCATTGTTTTGAAAGAAATTCTAAATCAGGAACCAATAATTTTTTATGATTAATATATTTTATGATTAAAGTCCTGATTTCGGTTAATTCTTGTTCATTCGCATCGGTGCTTGATAAATCAGATTTCTTAACATTAGGGAACCATTTATCCAATACGCATGAAAATAACTGGATCTTCGATCTTTCATTACAATTTAATGATGGATTATTTAGAATGTCCAAAATCAAATCTTTTGCTATATTATGATTACTATTCAAGTAATCCTTGAAATCTTCAAAATTTTCAGAAACTAGGTAGACAACTTTTTTACGAATCATAGGTTGATGTCGAGATTTCGCTAACCATGGATCAGATATTCCACAACCCAGCTCTAATATAAAACGTTTATTTTTAGATAACCATTTCATGCAATGACTTATTATCGACTGGGTACTTGTTTCCAAAGAAGCGAGCAAGATTGGAATTATGTTTTTAATGCCAAGTGGGAAAGCATTAGTATAATAAAGTAGTTGTATCATATTGAGTAGACCAGTTGAAAGGTGTGGGTGAAGGTTGTGCCAAGGAAGGACCCATTCTTTTGAGAGTTGACCCTGTGAAGTTGAAAAATAGTCACGAAAGTATGTGGATTGTATCGACAGAATAATTTTGTGAAATTCATAACATTCATTGTTAATACAAATTTTAATGTCACTATAATATGGTTTCGTTGTAAAATGTAGGCAGTCGGTATATTCAATTGTTGATGTAGAATTAGATGTTGAAGATGATGATTGTAGGATTGGCGGGACGGTGATAGGTCTTTAATTTGATGGTTATGATGATGGATCCATAATATGCGTGTTATCAAAAAGAATATGTATTGAATAATTATAATTTAACAAGATAATTTTTTTTAACATATAAATACTTTGAAAGGTTCAGAATTCGACATGTCTTAAAAATAAACAATACATACGATTTTGAAGTTTCCTTTTCAATATCATCTTTTTTTAATACTTCAAATAATCCTTGCAAGACGAGTTTATTAGGTATCAAATTATCTGCGAAAGCAACTTCCCAATTTTTTGGATCGAGCAAAGAATAATTAACGAGTTTGAACCATTCATACAACTTGTTATTATGCTTTAATCGTTCATAGGCCTCTTTTATATCGTGCAAAGTAAATTCCAAATGTTCATCTTCATTAACATCATTCTCAACAATGCCGTTTGTCTGTTGAGAATGCAATGTTGAACTAGAATTACCATCATCAATCTGCTTTTCAGTCTCTTCACCTATTTCGTTTTCATTTT